GGCGCAGCAGCTGGGCAACGTCTGCTGCCAGCTTCTGCAGAAGTAGTCGTGGGTTTAGTCTCGTTTGTCAAATCCCCAAACTACCAAGGTTCAAGGGGCACTTTGTTTCAGTTCTTTCCTAATAACCAAAATACGCCTTCATGTGACGCCACAACACAGTCGCTGTAGCAGTTAAGCATCATAGGGAGAAAAAGCACGGAGAACATACGTATCTTGTGGTTAGACTTCTCTGTGTACTTAGTTTGAGGCATATAAAAATGTGTTTTTTATTGTAGGTTCTCTTCTCTGGAGTAGCCTAGTCATATATTCCATTACAAATTCGAAGAGCAGCATTGATTATTTTTTTTTTTCTCTGTCTTACAATGTTTTCTTTCTCTTCTTACTAGACCTAAAAATTCAAAACAGCCAGAGCGGGAGGAGAAACGAGTCCTTGGTCTTGTGTTGCTTCGAGGAGAAAACCTGGTGTCCATGACAGTTGAAGGACCACCTCCAAAAGATGTAAGGAGGATGAGCGCAGAACTAAGGAGAAAGGGAAGGGACGTCTGATAAATTTGCTTCCTTGCAGGAGAGTGCTACTACAGGGTTGTCCTAGACTTCCAGGTGCTGCTGTGACTAGGTCCAACAAATTTCACTGCAGGAAGTTCTCATCCCTTTGTGGGCTCGGACATTAATTGGGCAAAGGAGGGCTATGGGCATCCCTAGGATCTGAGGACTTTTGATGAATCTGTCTTTGGGGGGTGTGTGTCTGTTTTCAGACTGGAATTGCCCGGGTACCTCTCGCTGGAGCTGCTGGAGGACCTGGAGTTGGGAGAGCTGCAGGGAGGGGAGTACCAGCTGGGGCACCCATGCCACAGGCTCCAGCAGGATTAGCTGGCCCTGTCAGAGGAGTGGGAGGACCATCCCAACAGGTGAGATGCTGTGACCTATTAAAAAAGAGTTGTCTGGTATATTCTGGGGTGGCTTGTAATTCTTGGTACCAATATGATGCAAGAAATTGATGGAGTGAAAGAACTGTAATCTTAGTTTCTCTTACCAGGGAGTTTGAGCCTAGTGAGGCTTTTTTGGTACTACATCCCCCTAGGAACTCTGTCTTATATGATAGAAGAAAAGTCTTGAAAAGTGCAGCTTCTTGCACAGAATTCAAGTGGTATCCATTGAATTGTATTACAGGTTTGTAGCATTATTTAATAAGTTAAGAGCAGACTGGCATAATTTTATTAAGGGATAATAATTTAAATCTTGCTTAGTTATTAATGTAAAGCAGATGTTGTGCTGTTTCTCTGTGAACCTGTTTATTTTGTTTACAGGTGATGACACCGCAGGGTCGTGGAACTGTTGCAGCCGCTGCTGCAGCAGCCACTGCTAGCATAGCAGGAGCCCCAACTCAATACACACCAGGGCGTGGGGGTCCTCCCCCACCCATGAGCAGAGGAGCGCCTCCTCCAGGTAGGGATTACTCTATAGAGTTGGGCAGCAAGGAGCTCATGTTATGTGGCAAAATTGGTGATAAAGAGGTATTGATCAGAGTCTGGTGAAGAACTGGTATTATGGAGGACTATTCTGATATCCAACTAGTGCCTTGAATATTTAGCTGGATTTATATGCTTGTTCTTTCTCTGGCTTAAGGAATGATGGGACCTCCTCCAGGCATGAGACCACCTATGGGCCCGCCAATGGGAATGCCACCTGGTCGAGGTGCTCCTATGGGAATGCCCCCACCAGGCATGAGACCACCACCCCCAGGAATGAGAGGTGAGCGGAGGTTATCTTAAATGCCTAGAAGCTATAAGAAGCCATAACATAAATAAAATGTTTGAAGGGTGATACATTTGAATGCCTCCCTAGCTATGGTAGTTGTCAATAAATGCCTCAGTGCCAAAAAAGGGGTCCTAAGGCCACTTTGAACATGGCAAAAATGTCTTTCTGGTTTAGCCTTGCTTCTTCTTTCCTCTTCAATATTCAACTTGTTCCTTTATTCCCAGGACCCCCTCCACCTGGCATGCGTCCACCAAGGCCATAAGATACTCTATAATGTACCTTTGAACTGTGAGAAGACTGATTAAGGGAATATACCGAGCAGTACCACCTGTCAGAACTTAGCTATGTATATTTTATATTTACTGCTTGTAAAGTTTGCCCTTTTTAATAAAGCTGGAAAACCCAATAATTTTGAGTCATTCTTGTACTGGTCTATTTCAGGAGTGCAGCTATTACCTTTCACTGCTGCACTTTGGTCACCCCAGAAGAGCAGGTTTGAAGCAAAAAGCTTAATTTATGTTGACAGCTCAGAAGTTAAAAGTTGGTCTATATTTGTCTGTGTTCCTTATAGGAATTAAAGCATATCAATGAAATTTAGCAAGGCTGATGAAAAAAATTGTTGGGATGGTGGAAATGGTAAAAATTCAAAGAAAGAGTTTAACATTTTGATGAAATTAAGTATGAGTTACTGATCAGAATTCTCCCTGCTTTATTCACAGTGGAACAAGTACAATGGTGCCTGTATTAGTGATAGTGAGCTCTGATGCTCTGCATTAAGCTGCTGCTTATTAGCCTGCAGTAAACCTACTTGATCTTTATAGGTGGAGCTGCATTGCTTCTAGTAAAAAAAAAAAAAAAGCCAGGATGAGCAAACTTGTAATTAATTGCATACAATAATGTAAACCAGCCTGCATTCTGGTTGTAGTCTTCCCTTCTTGCCTCAGCTTACAGCTGCTTTCTTTTCAGTTAGGAGGAAGCTGTCTGCGCCCCCTCCCTTGGAGATAATCCTTTCTTCAGATAGTAGCCTCTTGGAGATTTGTTTTAATTCCTGTGACTGTTATCTCTGAAGCCATCTTTGTGACAGGTAGTCTGAAAAACTTTTTTTCCCCCGCTATTTTAGAAATAGGCTCTCAACCATAGAAATCCTTTTCAGCTATATTAATTAATTGAGATCACAGAAGCATATGAACAAAGCAATAAGTGTTCTCAGTCTCTCTAGATATCCCATAAAACAGAGCAAACTTTATAGGAAAAAAAAATCAATCCTTTATTGCATGGGCTGCTGAAGATGTTTTCACACAGGGTCTTCAAGCGGTATTAACGAACATCCCAAAGCTATTCCAGAACTTGAAGAAAAACTATTTGATTTTACTGAAGTTGTCTCCTTGCAGTACAAAGAAATGCAGATCGTGGAGAGAGCATGTCTGAAATGTCTGCATTGTCCAAATTACCAATTTGGTAATTACCAATAGTTCTTACTTTCTCTTGTACCTGAAAGAGAAGGTATTTGAAATGACATTCCACCAGCCTAACTCTCAATGATAGATAAGGAACAGCACTGAGCATTTTCTAGGCAAAGCTCTCCCAAGTAGAGGCCTAGGAATGTGCTATTAAAGGCACTATCCTTGATTGCCCCCAGCATCAGACCTGCAGTAGGTGGGTAAGCTATGCAGAACCAACAAACCTTTTAGCAAGGGCCTTTAAACAATCGCAAGAAGAGGAAAGAGAAAGCAGGAAGACAAAAAAACCTTGAGTAAGAAAGTAAAGGGAGCTATACCTGGACTTGGATTTGAAGTTTCCTCCTTTCCTATGTTGGGCCATACCCAAGCGTTTTCGATCTTCAAATGATGGGCTTTTTAAGAGAGAGGGGGGGGCGGGGAGGTAAGACAAAAACCACTGAAGTACGTCAATAGCACAGGTATTTCATGCAAGAATCCCTTCCCTGCTCTGCCCACCTTTTCCCCCCAGTACCAAAGCATCCCTGAGAAAGTCCAGAGATGGAAAAAAAATCCCACCTATTAAAGTCTTGAGTAATGTACTATTGCTAAGATATTACCCGGCACGGTACTGCTTCAGAGCCTTCATGCTTGTGTTGGTAAGCTCTTCGTCAAACACAGACAGCTTTTTCTTCCGCTTGGGGCCTAACACAGAGAAAATAGTCAGAACATTGGCTGTAAAGAGAAGGCCACAGCATCATCTTGTTTACTAGAGCCCAGTAGCCTTGACCACAACAATTAGCCTAACCATCAGGAAAAGTAATGACTTGTCTCTGCAAACACTCACCCTGGCCAGCACTGGTGGCCATTCCTTCAAAGATCAGTGCCTCTCTCTACACAATTAGTTTAGTTTACCTATTTGTAACAAAGTAACTGACATAAGTAAGTCAAGCTGTAAAACAAAAGTCTCCACCTGCTGGTACTGCTGCTGGTTCCTCTTCTGGCAAGACTCTGGCTCGCTTTGCTCGGCGATTCCTTTTTGCCAACCGCTCAGCATACATTTGAGATTTCAAGATTTCAAACTGTGACCTCTCCTCTGGCTGAAAGGTGTTAAAATGCAAGTTTACAGTGATGTGAGGTTTTGCTAAGGGAAAACTAGGATAGTCCACCCAGGGTCCCACTTGTCCATAAATGTACTCACTGTCATTTGGCCTTTTTTCTGTCTGTCCTGCATAAATTTCTTCCTTTTTTTTTTGCCTCGTAATGCTAGGTCAAACTCCTGCAGGGCTTTAGTCACTGGAGAGACAAAGAAAAGCATAGAATAAAGCACCTCTTGAAGTACAGGGCAGAGTCCAGTTGCAGCTATGGAAATATCATGGCAGCAGTGTCATGACTCACATTTCTCTTTCTTCCTCTCCTCACGGGTCTGGAACCAGCTCCGCTCCAAACCCTCACCCACAGTCTCTTGTTTTCCTGTCTCCAGCTGCTTCTTTGCCCTATTGATCTAATTCAGACAAGAAGTGAGCTCATGGTGGATAAAAAATATCTCTCTCTTCCCTTTCTAAAGTAGGCAGGTTAAGTACATTAGGGTAACCTCCTTATGTACTATATCTACTCCAGATCCTAAAAAAAATAAGGTTAAAAAAAATTCCTAAAAAACCCCTTACCTGGGCCTCTGACTGCTGCATCTCACGTTCCTCACGCTCCAAGCACAGAACTGCATACACATCTTTCTCCAGATTCTCAATCTTCTCTCGAAATTTTAGTATGACATCTGAAAATGGTACAGTGTGACCATCAGAAGCAGCTCATGTAACGTCCATCTTGTTTTTCGGCACCTCTTTTAGTGTCCCTCTGTACCACGATATTCCCTGCCTACTGCTCCCCTGCTTTTTACCTCAGTGAAGTGCGTACCTTGGGGGAGAATTCTGGCTTTCACTGGTGTTTTGGCAGCCTTCACAATATCCTTCAGCATCTTGCGCTCTTCCTCACCCACAAGTGAAACTGAACGACCAGCCCTGCCTGCTCTTGCTGTCCGACCCACTCGATGAACATAGTGTTTGGTGGTGTTGGGCATGGTAAAATTGATTACCTGTAAAAGAAAGAGTGTTAGTAGGGAAACAATATTAAAGGATTCATTAAAAAGCTCAGCACTGCAAATACTCACTGTTTTAACACCTTCAATATCAAGTCCGCGTGCAGCCACATCTGTAGCTACCAGAATATCAATCTGCTCATCCTTAAAGCGCCTGAGCAGAGATAGCAAATGCATTAGCGATGACTACAGCAATTCACTTCTGCCCTAAAACTTCCTAACTCCTAATTTCTTTTTTGGCTACAATTGCCAACTAAGCCTGCTAATACCTGAGTGCTTCCAGCCGCTGTGCCTGAGAAAGGTTCCCATGAAGCTCCCCAACCCGTAGACCCATCAGCCCAAGTAGGATGTGCATACGGTGAGCTTGCTTCTTGGTCTGGGTGAAAAGCATCACATGATCTGGGAAGGTTCGTGTCAGTAGAGCTGAAAGAAAAAAGTCCTCTCAGTAGCCTGCTTCACAGTCACCTATTGAGTCCAGCTTTTCTTTGCTCATCACTGACCTGATACAATGGCCTCACGGTCCCCCTCTCGGTTGGGTCTGATCCGGATAAATTCCTGCCGCAGGAAAGGGGCAACATCTGTATTGCTGTTCACAAAAATTCGGATGGGATTCTTCAGGGAAACAGAAGCCAAATCTTTCACCTACCAAAACAGGTTAAGAAAAAAAAGTCCACATAATCTCTGGTAAAAGACTAGACAAACTTCTGTTCAACTTCCTGCCTCAGTATGCTTCTCAGCAGCCTGTCTTACCTCCTCTGTCATTGTGGCAGAGAAAAGCATTGTCTGACGGTGGTTGGAGCATAACCTGATTATTTCCTTCATCTGTTCCTCAAAGTATTCATCCAGCATCCTACACAGGAGAAAAACAGCAAGGTAAGGCAGCTTCATCTGCTTCTAGCTAAGAACATTACTTAAGGCAGGGCAGCAAAGACTGCCCTATAGCCTGGGAAAAGGAAAGCAGAAAACTACCATCTCATTTTTCACTGCTGTCCTGCTTAGCCTACCTGTCTGCTTCATCCAAAATCAGCACCTCAACACTGCTCAGGTGGAAAGAAGGGCAGTTGTGGAGATGATCAATCAGTCGCCCAGGAGTGGCGATAAGAATGTCTGGCCCAGAGCGCAAAGCTGCTTCCTGAGTCTTCACATCTAGGCCACCTGAAAGAGAGCGAACATGGACTGCTGACTCCCTGAGCAGGTTGCAGCAGTGTACAGATCCAAATTGCCTGAGGAATAGGAAACAACTCAGATTAATACCACATTCACAACTAGAAGTGATCCCACCTTTTCTTTCTCAGAAACCCAACAAACAAGAAGTATGGCATGGTATTGGAAAGTGAGATTTTAAACCATAGCACACCTACTAGAAGCATGCTTGCAATAACCATACAGCCTCCGGTTTTGTAACACAGAGTTCCCAGTCCTGTATAGCAGTTTACAGTGAGCTGTGCAGTTCACATAAGCAACTTAATACTCACCTACAGCAAGGCAAGTTGTGACACTGCTGAACTGCGCCAGTTGTTTTGTGACAGAGTGCACCTGAATACCCAGTTCTCGTGTTGGAACTAGAACCAATACCCGTGTTATTGGAGCCTGACGAGGTTTGTAAATCAGGCGCTCAAGGACAGGCAAGATGAAGGCAGCTGTTTTACCTAAAGAAAAAAATTAAGAATTACCAATTGTCGTGAATAACTAATTCGCCATGTTTCCTGCACCCTGCTCAACCCCCTACCTGTCCCAGTGGCAGCACAGGCACAAATATCCTTCCCAAGAAGACCCACCGGGATACAAGCCTTCTGAATTGGGGTTGGTTGCTTGAAGCCAAGAGCTGTGATTGCCTACAAAGGAGATAGAGCAATTAAACTCTGTCTCTGGTAT